TCGGCCGAGCGGGAAGCCAGCCGGGTAGCTGGGGTCACCTAAAAGAGCTGCTGAGGAGAGGGACTGGGGGCAAGAAGGGATTAAGATAGGAAGGAGAAAAAATGAGTTAGGAGCAGGAGGTGTGGATAGAGCAGGACCGGAGACCTCAGGCAACAGCTGATCACTGTGGAGAGAGAGAACATCTCTCTGAGGTAACGCCTGCCTGAGAGGAGCCAGGTTGCAGAGAAGAGGCATCTAGGGACTCACCAGCACCTTCGACTTTGAGGTGTAGAATACAAGCCAAGACAAAACATTACAGCTGAGGTTGAGGAGACCATAACGTTTTCCCGTTCAAGGGAAAGCTGTGTTCTGAGCTACGTTACCTACAACAGGATCAGGGCTAGTCAACAGAGTGTTGGTGTCTTCCCAAGATCAGAGAAGCTGTGTAGGATTCAATATATATTTGCATACAAATGTGTGTCTTGTATATTGCAGTATTTATCCAGATGTGTTGTTGGGGCATCGCTTGAAAGCACAGAAGAAGAGGAGGAGGAAGATGAAAATAATTCAGCTGCTGAAGTTTCTAGTAGGCCAAAGGAGGGAGTCTACCAAGTAGTGGGTACCCTTTCTAAACCAGAGAGTACTAAACCATGTTTTGCAGAGGAAACATATGCAGTAAGTAAGAGTCTTATTTCAGGTTGCCATTAGACAACATTAGAAAGTTGTAAATGTAAAATTTACGTACACAATGTAAAATGACCTGCATTAATAAAATGGTCTTTTGTTGCCACTGGAAGCTGTATACATATATTTTATTCCTTCTGCTTCCTGCATGCTGTTGTCTCCTCTCTGCTAGGTCTGATACAGCAAATAGTAAAAGGAAGGAACTCAGTCTCACAATAGGTTTTTAAAAAAAAATAGTTATGGACAGGATATCATCTACCCTGACGATCCACAGGTCTGCTTTGTTTTTCCCTCAAAACACACACCTCAAGTATCTCTCTTGTCTCCTCTCTCTTTTATCACCATTTTAAAGGTAGTGGTGCTGCAATCAAACTTACTGTCGCCCTTCTTAGCTGTTCACTGAAATCACAGCTTTCACTAGCAGTTAATTATTCTGAATACCTACATCTTTGTATAAAGATATGTCCAGAGTTTAGTTAACCAAAGGAGGCTTGCTTTTAAGAATATGATTGCTTATTGCTTGGTTTACTTTTCTGAAATTAAAATTGCCTCTGTCTCAAATTGATTATCCAGAATCCCTTCAAACATTTGAAAATTTTGATAGAAACATCTGTACAGCTGAGCTGTTCAATCAGAAAATTATGGGTGGCAGTGTTTAATGTTAATCACTGCTCTTGCCCAAAGTGTTTGTTGGACTTGCTCAAGTGATGCAGACAATCTGCATTTAACAAAAATGACAGGATGTTATTTTGCAAGGAAACAGACATTTTTTATGTCTTCTCCATTCTCCCAGCTGATCCTTGTTTAAAATACCTATAAAAGTCATAGATATTTTTTTTGGTACTCACAATTGCACTGAAAATATGAATCCTAAAATACCACTAAAAGTTGTGCGTCTTTTTGAACTACATTAATGTGTGCTGTAAATTAGAAATTTCAGCACTTAATTACATTTAGTCACCTTACTTGTATCTGACAGATAAAGTTTGATGTCAATCTTTTGAATTATTCTAACATCGTAGCGTTAGAAAACTGCATTCTATCAGTAAGTTAAACTTGCAAAGAAAAGGAATTCTTGAAAGTTTTTCCTGCTTTTTTTTTTTTTTTTAAATGACAGATTCTAACTATTTTTTCCCCAGGTCTCTTCTCAAAAAGAGCTCCTAAGTCACTTGCTTGAATGTGAGATTGTTGTATATAATATCACTGAGGATGCAAATCAAATTGAGGAAGCAACATGGGCTGCTTCTGGTTAGTATACCTATCAGCTGAACAGAAAATTGGTTGCTCTACAGCCATCAAAATTTACCATAAATATATAATGAAATTATCTGGGATTTACCATAAATGTATAATGAAATTATCTGGGATTTATAGTTTACTGTAATATCAAACTGGCTTCCTTGATGGAGAAATGCTGCATGAATTGTTCAATTAATTAGCAAGGGACCATGGAATGCACTCTAGCACTTATAAGCTAGAGAAGCTGTCATGGAATGGTCCAACACTTTAAATGACATATCTGTGTAAGCAGTTACTTCCCTAAATACCTATCAACCGTCATCTTACCTATTTGCATTGGGAGGTGGGTAGCAAATTTGCTCCTGTGATACTCAAATAATGTTTCAATATTTTAAATATATTTTGACTTAAAAGTCCAATAAAAAAATACTGCTAGCAGTGTTTCTGAAACTTTCTCCTGATTGTTATATCCAAATCCTAATGGGCATCTGGAATCTTTTTATGGTGACAGTGCAATATTGTTCTTTATATGATAGTTAAACTAAATTATGCTTTCCTGTTTATAGTATAAATACTCGGATAACTTCATAAGTTTTAGAGGACTCAAGAAAACCCACATTTAATTATTTTGCTCTAAATTAAAATAAGGAAGCTTTACTTGAATTCTGTAGATTTTCTGTTTCAGTAATGAAAAAACCTACACTTTTATTTTCTTTCAGTATCTCAGCAGTCAATAAAGATGAATCATTTCCTAGTATAGATCGTTTCTTTTTTTTTCCCCCATGATATGTAGGTCTATGGAGATTATGTTGATTCCCAATAATTTGATTCTTTATTACCATTATTTGTCTATTTGTTTTCTTTCATGATTTATTATCTTCCTTTTATACCAACCCAAATAAAGAGTATTTGCTTAAAAATACATATCACGTAGAACGTTGTGGTATAAATGTCTATACAGGACCTTTACATAAAAGCAGAAATACACTTTGAGTAATACAGTTTACAATAAATTATATCCTTTGCTTTCATTTAACAGCCCTACATATGGAAATAGAGCATTTTGCAACACCGAAGTTATTCATCCTCATTTCAACAATAATGAGCTGGGCAAAAAGCAAACCCCCTGACCCTGTAAGTAATGTGAAAACTTTTTTTTTTTAACTGAATATGTAATGGAAAATATTCCTTAAATGCAATTAAACAAAGTATTTCAGTATGTACTTCAACAATAGCTAATAAAGTTAGTGTCAGCAAGTGTGTTTTTTCTCATAATCTTTTCACCCTGAACCACTGCTTGCTACCAAAATTGTTAAATTTATTCCACTGGACAGAGAAGTTTAGGCGCTGGGCCACAATGATACAGGCAGACATTAGGGACTGCTTGGACAAGAGGTAAGACCTATGCTAACCACAATATGCACTGTCCTTCAGTCATAAAAAAATCCCATATTTACTACATATTAAATGAAATACATATTTAAATCAGTGTATAGATAGATACATCTTTGTATCTATATATGTTAAGTGTTGTCAGGAACCATGTGGGATGCTTTGAGCATGCTATTGCAACTCTCAAATTTAGTCTTACAGAAATTGTGCACATTAATGTTATCTGTAGCAGTTGTCAGAGTTTTTCAAGCTTGTGTAATGCTATATATAATAAAAATTCATGGTTTTTTAAATATAAAACGTAGTTAGAAGTCTTTTGCTGTGAAAATTGAAATTGAACTATTGACATTTTGAAAATATTGAACCTCAAGTATCAGAATCAGAAGTTTTAAGAATTTCAAGTTAAAACAGATTTTAAAAATATTTTTAAAGAACTTATTTTAACCATCCAGGCCTTTAAAAATTGTTCTGTTTTAAGACATGTATCAGAGTCACATTTTTTCCTTCATAGGAAGATCCTGAGATTCCTTTTACTGATGAAGATTATCGCAGAAGAAAATCTCATCCTAACTTCATGGATCACATAAATGCTGAAAAACTCATTCTCAAACTTGGGAAAACTGTATGTAAAGAACATTTTTATAAAAATAGGTTGTTTGGTCTTCTTACTTAGAGCATTATCTTAGTAATGGAAATTACCAACAATTTGAATAAATTTTAAGAGTGTGTTATTCTCTTGATAAATATGGATAACATCAATTATTAATAAAATATCAAGTATAGTGAAGACTATAATGTTGTTTGAAACACAAGCGTCTGCATAATACAAATCCCAAATTCTGTCTGTTTTCCTTAGGTAGTGAGTAAATCATGCCTATCTCGTTTAAAAAAATATATTGTTTCATTGGTTGTATCAGAGAGAATTAAAGCTGAGGCCCGTGTGGGGAAAGACTTGAGGATGAAAGAATGTAGAGGAAAGGGACATTAGTGTAGTTTTAAAGAAAAGCAGCACCTTTAGATATTAGCAAGCTATGTTAATACTGTGTCTCGTTTAAATACTTAGAAGATGTTCTGGCCACACCTAGCATGTTCCTGGATAGTTTGTGCTCTTGGAGCAGAGGGCTTGTTGACTTTTATTCCACCCTATAATTCACTTTAAAATCATGGCCATAGAGCTGACCCAGAATAACTAGAATATATGTTCTCACTTTATATGTCTTTTAAAATCACTTCCTTCAGCTTTATTTTGACCTGATTAGATTATTAGTCTTATTAGAGAACAGACCATGCCTCTCTCTGTATTTTATAGCTATTATTAAATAAATACCAACAGTGGCTCAGATCGTGCTTCACAACTCGGGAAAATTGATGCTGTTGTCATTAGAGATGGAGTACTGTGGAGGTTAGGAAAGAGAACTGGAAGACAATGAAATACACTGTATGATGACGGTGTCATTTGGTCATTCTCTTTGCGCGTTAGCAGTCTCCCATAATAAATGTAATTGTGTCCATTGCAGAAATTTATCAGGCTGATTATAGAGGGGGGAAAAAACCTTTACTCTGATTTGAGTGTACACTTGTCATCTTACGCCCAGCTTAGAAAATAGCACTAGAAATTATATTCTATTCTGACATGGGTTTTATAGTACAGAATGCCAGTAAAATTTGGTTTACAGCTAGAAAAATCAGTGGTAAATTGTTCTTTCTTTTACTGTGCTAACATGGAGTTATTCTATAAGACTATGGGATAACTTTCATACTTGCTATGTTAGAAACATGAAGATTGTAAACAGTGTCCACCAAACCTCGCAATAACTTCTGCCACCAGTAACACCCAGATGAACTATTGACTCAATTTTTCTGACTAGTCCAAAGCACTGAGTCACTACCTAACAAAGGTGTTAATATAATTAGCTTCTAAATGCTTGCCAGGCTGAATGTCTGTTGAGAAGACAGTGGAACAATATGTAGCAGTACACGATAAAGCAACTTGAATATTTTCAATATATATACCTCTTGTAGGCATTTCAAAAGGAGCCCTTTTCCTCCAGAACTCCAGAGGCGGCTTCAATGGGTATCATTGCCCCGTGTAGTTTCTGTCAGCACTTTGGAACAGGAAGGCTCCAAAGCATCTGTTCTTCCCAGCAGATCAACATTAGCTTCCTGTGATGGCTGGAGACTTCTGGATTACAGTTTTTACTCATTTCTAAATTCAGTGGCATCTGTGGAATGTGCCATCTGTGAAAGAAATGACAGTGTAACCACTCTTCTTCAAAGAGCTCATCACGAGATACTAGGATTCAACAGCCGTGTCAGTCATGTAGAGAAGATCTTGCACTTAAGAACAGAAGGGTTTCTTAGCCTTCATATCTGTTCAGAGTGCAATTTAATGGCTGTTGTTGCTTAAAGCAAGATTTCACTCCTCTGAGTTAGTGTATCTCCCACTTATATTTTGCTTAAAATTCAGCAAGAGTTGTGAGCTAGAAGTCTTTGCTTTTGACCACTAGCAATTTTTTACCTTTACCTTTGTGGCAAGGCATTCGGGCTGTGTAGCTTTTCTCAGAGAGAAGTCGCTGACTCTGGGATCCTGCCAAATTCAAAATCCTTGGAGAAATACCTGCCTACGACAGACAGAGGAGCTCTTCATCTCCCAGCTCTGTTCTCAGTGGCATCACAGTTCGTGAAACCATTAATTTAGACCTGTTTCTCACTTCAAGCATTTCATTAGAATCAAACAAACAAACAAGTGTAAACCAACCAAAGCCTAGAACTGATTATAATAGCTAGAACGTGACATCTAGTGGCTTTAATGAATATTGCACAGGAACGTGAAGGTCTTCACCCGTGACTAAACATGCTGTGTGTAACTGGAGCTTGCCTAATAATTGTCTTTTTTTTTATATTAAGTATATCCAAGTCATCTCAAGTAGTGCGTTCTCATATGTGTGACTTGTGACACTAAACATATTTTTAGAGGACTTGAAGCTGTTTCAGAGGTTTGTATTTCAGTGAAGTATAGCACTCGGTGCCAAACTGTGGCTTGCCTCCACAAGTGGCTACTGCGGAAGCTACTGCAAGGTAAATGGAAGAAAATTCTGTGTTACGTTCTTCTTAAGGGAGACGAGAAATAGCACCTCCTGTGCTTTCACAAGAGACAGGTTTTTCCTGCTGGGAGACGGAAATTACAGCATGTCTTCTCCTGGGGCATGTTTGCAGTCTGCCCAGAGCAATCCTGCGAGCTGCTGCTCTTAGGGTATAAACAGTTTCTACGACGGCACTACCCAAGCAAACTAAGTGTGGGAGCTCTTATGCTATCTGTAATGTCTTCTAATTTTAATGTTTCTTGTGATTACTAACCAGCTGTTGCATTCAACTGAGCTGAGATAGTCTTTATTACAAAGTTTTATTTTGTAAGTAGAGAGGTAAAACACATACACAGATACAAATACACTGATGTTATTACTTGTCGTCCCTTTATATGACGCTTTGCTTATATAATCAAAGATTGGCTAACAGTGTTCTTAGTTTTATGTTTTTGAAATATTATAAAGATGATAACAAAAGATGCATTTTTTCATTTAAAAAAAGTAGATCCCAAATCTGGGCATTTATTCCCTCTGCTGGTAAATGCAGGTTCTTTTATGTAGTGTTATGTAGATATATAATGTCTAGGATCTTTACAACATGAGAATTATTTAACAATTTTGTTTCACCTTAAAAATTTTAAAGTGACTGGTCCTAATTTAAAAGATTTTCTTGAAAGTTTTTCTCCTTAAGATGATTTTAAAATCTTTTTTTCTTTGTATAACCATCCTCAACACTGATCCAAGCAGTAACTTTTTACATAAACAGGCAGCCACGTCAGGCAAATTTATGGCATTATGCAATAATGGTCAGCAAAAAATATGTGGGTTGATCGTGATGTGTGGTTAGGAAAACATTTAGATAGTTCACAGATTTTTTTTTTTTTTATTGTATATCAAAATGAAAGTACAGCAATTGTATAACCATTGATCCAGCATTTCCCACTTCTTTAGGCAGTGAAATGAAAATATAATGCAATTAAAAAACAGCTTCAATGAATTTCAGAGTTATTTTTCTTGGAAATAGAAAGTTAAAACATGAGTTATCCTGTTCACTTCATTGATTTACATAACTTACTTCCAATTTTTTTACCTCTTAAAATTTTTTTAGAATTTCAGTTCAAATGTAGACAGGTCAATTCTGATTGAGCAATGCTTTTTTGAAGGAAATATTAGCAATATGACTTATGAAACTACAGGATATGCAATAATTGATCTAGCTACAAATTTTAGGTGATATGATTTACACACTTTGTATTTTCAGGTTAAGCCACTACCATATTTTTACGAAAACTTTCTTGTTGATTTTACTTCACAGAACAAACACAAATTTTCAACTTATGTTGTTGCCTCAGGACTTCAATATGGAGCTGGGGAAGGAGTCTTGCACTACTTTTTTAAGGTAGACATCCAGCTATTTTTGAAGGTTCATTTAATTTCTAGGGGCAAACCACACTGGAATTGAATGCATTTTTAGTAGCTTTGGTATCATAAGCTTAATGCTTTTGTGAACAAAACTGATTATTTGATCCCTTTGAAATGTTTTAGCTACAGTGGAAGTGTTTTCCACTTTTTTGGCTCTGTATGTTTTTTAGTTTTTTCCATCATTTTTGAACAGTATCTCCATATGTACTTTACAGTGGGAACGTGTCTGTCATATCAATGGAATCAGGAAAAATGTCTGTCTTCTCAACATTATATTCTCTTTTTTTTTCCAAGCATTTATTTTATTTGGGGTACAAAATAACATTTGTCAAGATCAAAGAGTATTCTTTAAAAAAAAAAAAAGTTTATTGTTTTTTGTAGGCTGCCAGTCAGTATTTCTCAAGAATTGTTTCCTTTACTGCAGTTCCATTAATCATTCAAGAAATTGAACTTTAAATCCTGAACATATAGATTTGCCTAGTAAACAAGTGCTCCTTTTTTAGCTCTAGTTAAAAGTAACCTTTTTCTCCTCACTTCATTCTCTATTTGTATTTTCAGATAGGTTGGCTTAGTGAGACTCCTACAATACCTGTTTTTGGAGATGGAAACAATTTTATTCCAACTATTCATGTTCTTGATTTAGCAGCGTAAGTAAAAAAAAAATCCCCCTGGACAATAATTGATACTTAGCTAGATAACAAATCCAAATCTACTGGTGAGTACTGAGGCTTTTAAATTGGGGTGGGTGGGTTTAAGCCCTTTGGCCCTTCTTACTGAGTCAAACAAAAGACTTCCGCTTCTTTAGTACTAGATACGCATTCTGGAAACCTTATCTGACTGTTGCACTGGTGCTATGCTTTTAAGAAATTACTAGCAATGCTCAATCTAGAGTGAGATACCAGTTAACTGGCACAGAACTGGAAATGGATCATGGACTCTGCAGCAGGCTAAGTTAATACCTTCTACAGATGTTGCTTTTTCTCCTTTGAATTTCTTTCCAAATAAAATATCTAGTTGTGCTTCTTTATTAAGGAAAATATATATGAAAATATCATGCTCTGAAAAGTTCTGCAAGATTTTACAAACTCTTTGTATTGTTTCTGAAGTGCATTTAACAACAAAAGCCCAGTATGCTTCTCTAACTACCGTCCCTGACTATACTTTCTATGTTTCAGAGTGTTACAAAATATAGCAGACCACAGGCCAAGGTTTCACTATATCCTTGCAGTAGATGTATCTATGCACACTCTTCAAGAATTAATAAAGGTAAGAGATTTGATTATTTTCTTTTCAGATATCTTTAAGATTTTAAAGGCTATTCTAGGTCTTCCTGAATTATCTTGTGTAGTAAATGACATAGAAAATTATTTTGAAATCCTCCAAGACTTCTGTCCTTTGAACAAAATACATTACTTGGACCTGATTTTGCAGAACTAACTTTGGCAGTATTACCATTAACTTAAGTAGAAATTTTACCTAAGAAAGTTCTAGTGAACTGTTATGGGATTCACAGTACTGTAATTAGATACTCAAAGTCTTTAAGATGTTTTTCGCTTCATTTTGTAGGAAGATATCTTGTTTTTCCAAGCATTTTGAAATGAAGTCTGGAAATAGTCTTGACGACACTGCTGAACTATACACTGATAGTGAGAGTCAACTAATACAATGTAATAGGAGACTTGCTCATGTAGATTGAACAAATGTTACACAAGGACCAAACAGAACAGCCCAATATTTTTGGTTGTGTCAAAGAGTGTTTCATGGAACAGTGTGTTAGGGAGCTCACAACAAAATGCAACCTTTGTTTTGGTTCAGATAACACCTCAGATTCCCTCACCTTCCCGGTTGCCCTTACAGAACAGATACAGGGCCCTGGAACTTGAGGGCCAGGCAAATGAGGATGTAGACGAAGGTCCATCCAGGAGGTTGCCTAGGGTGAAGCAGTCAGCCCCACGCATTATGACTGCCTCTGCTAAGAAAAAAAGGAGGGTAATTGTCATAGGCGATTCCCTTCTGAGGGGAACAGAGGGCCCAATATGCCGACCGGACCCATCCCACAGGGAAGTCTGCTGCCTCCCTGGGGCCCGGGTCAGAGACATTACTAGGAAACTCCCTGGTCTGGTACGGCCTTCGGACTACTACCCACTGTTGGTTATACAGGCTGGCAGTGATGAGGTTCCAGAGAGAAGTCCTGAAGCGATCAAAAGGGACTTCAGGGCACTGGGGTGACTGTTTGAAGGATCAGGAGCACAGGTAGTGTTTTCCTCAGTCCCTACAATGTGGCAGGGAAGAATACTGAAAGGAACAGGAAAACACACCTGATCAACACGTGGCTCAGGGGCTGGTGCCATTGGAGGAATTTTGGCTTTTTTGATCATGGGGAGGTTTACA